TGTTGTGAGCAGAGCAACAGTGAAAGTATCACATTGGAAGGGAATCAGACCTCTCTAGACCTCAAGAAAGGGCCTGAACCCTTTAACGAAACACTCAGCAGAAGAGATCTCTGTCCCAATGGCCAGAAAGCCTGGGGGTTTGTGATAAATTGATTTCATGGGAGCAACCTGGCACTTCCAGAGAAGTGCCTTGAGATTTCAGGAACACAACCCTGTTCCTTCCCAGCCATAATCAATCCCACTGAAGACAACTGGAGTAGCTGTCAGGCATGTCTCAGGGTTGGATCTTCTCTGCATAAAGGGGTATAGAAGATCTGACACAGTTTCCCCTACGGACAAATTCCCTGGTCAGCTCTTCCAACAGCTCTCGCAAACGTGTTGCAAAATGTACACTGGGTGAGGGATGATGAGTGGTCAGAGCATGCTCTCCACAGCCTCACAAAAACTGTTAAAGCTTCAGAAGGCAGCACAGCTTCTCTGGGGTCACTCTAACTTGGCGTTATTCAACCTTTTGGGAAGGTGGCAGATCTCTAAGAAAAAAATTCCAGCAGTGCTGCTGTCATTTATACAGAAATGCAAGTCTTTTCTTCCTGACTGTCTAGGTAATCTCAAATGCATGAATGCTACACTTTGCCAAAAGGCACTGCTAGACCTATTGTGAAGGCAAAAAGTTGCACACAATCTTCTCCAGCACTAGGGAGATGCACCCACCTCCCCAGAGTCACACATACACATGCAAATTACTGCTCCGGGCAGCAAGCAGGACACCCACATTTATTATAATATGTCCCCTAATAGAAAGGAAGTTATATAAAGATGATCAGTATATTTGATACTTGGATATTTCAGGCAGTTCCTGCCCTAAGGTTCTTCTCTGAATCACCTGATGACATATCACCTCAGCTGTAGCTTGGTGGGTGGAGAGGAAGAGTGATGATAGCACATGTCTTCTCCAAAGGTTACACCTGCCAGATGGAAAGGCCTCCTGAAGATGCAGTAGCAGCTAGAGGTTACTCAACTGCTCACCACCTCTCACTTTCTCTTCTTCACATAAAGGGCAGCCAAGCAATTACTGAAGGAAAGGAACGAGCAGCCTACGCCTGCACACGTGAGGATCCTGTTACAGGAGCATAAATCCAGAGTCGATGGCATTAAAATGCAGCCTGAAAAACAGCAGCTTTGACAAAGCTTGCTTTATGAGCACTGTTTAATCACAGAGACGTGTCTGGGTGCTGACCAGACTGGGATTACCTGCATGCTGCCACTCCTAGCTAAATGACATCTTGGCTCTGGAGTCAGAGATACCCCCATGTTCCCAGTGCGCCCAGCGGGAGACAGCCACACGTGCCTTCAGAGAACAACTTGTCACCCTCCTGAGACACCCTGCTCACCATGTCCCCTTTGGGCCACAGAGGAGGTGGAAAGCAGCCCTGGAAAGAGGATGCTGGAGTGAGGAGTCTTGTTGCAAAGCGTATGACAGGGCAGCCATGCTGGGGAAAGTCCCCAAGGGAAGGGCGGCACTCCCTCATGGTTGTGCTCACTCACACCAGCAGAGTGAGGGGTTTCTGGACAGTTGCTGCAAGTCAGAAAAGCCACCAGATAATGTAAAAATCATAAGGGTACGACGAGTCGGCTCAACCCAACCAGGAGCTCTGCAGTGAGGCATCACAGTGCAGACCAGCATCATCTCGAGGAGATGGAAAGGGAGGGTGGTGGGACCGCCTGCTCACCAGCTGGGAGGGCAAGAAAAGCCACAAAGGTGAGACTGAGAGAGGGAAAATGACTCAGGGGCTTGAAGTGTCAGACAAATGGGAAGCATAAATAACAGCAAACACCCAGATGCTCAGAGCTGGGCAGCCACAGAAGACAGCCAGATTAGAAAAGCCAAATAAATGTGTGTGGGAGTGGATATGAGATCAGAGAAGTAGGGTCAGGCGAGTTCAAAAACAAGCTCTGAAATTCCTTAGCATACTATTGAGCTTGATGGGGAGGAAAGGAAGCCTTTGAAAGTGGTGAAGGGACAGGGTGATATAATACCATAGCCTGCGTGCAGAGAATAGCATGGCTTTGGCATAATGAAAATCTCAGTGCACTATTCTTCTCTCGCTTAGCCTCGTTTAAATCATGAATAATGACATGGCAAACTACAACAGGTTAAAGCCAGTGGGAGGGAGAGAAGAATCACATCCCTTTTGTTTAGAGAGAGGCCCACAGAAGGAAAAAAAAAAAAAAAAAAGCAGCAATAGAAGGAGATTTACAGCAGTCAAGAGGAAAACGATCGTGGATGGCATGAATAGGAGTTACACCAGCAGAACTGTGACAGAGTAAGGTCTGGGGGAAGAAGCAGAGGAGACTGCAGGTATGAAAAAGAGAAGGCTAAGCAAAAATCAGTAGAGGGCCCAAAAAAAGGAAAAAAAAAAAAAAAAAGCAGCAATAGAAGGAGATTTACAGCAGTCAAGAGGAAAACGATCGTGGATGGCATGAATAGGAGTTACACCAGCAGAACTGTGACAGAGTAAGGTCTGGGGGAAGAAGCAGAGGAGACTGCAGGTATGAAAAAGAGAAGGCTAAGCAAAAATCAGAGGGAAATTCAGCATAGTTTCAGTTGGAGAGACAGCTTTGCCATGTGCCCCAAATCACAAAACTTCCTTTTCTAACTAGAAACGTGAACCCACGACTGGTTAGCACACATGGGTTCACACTGGTCTCTTCAGAGGACTTAAGAAGAGTGGCCAGTGCTTCCGCCACCTCCTTTTACAGTGGCTGAGCCACATGAAAGGGACAGCTAAAAATATACACAGAACCACCCATTACTTTGCCCTGAAATCGGTTGTTCTGGTCACCACATGACAGTAATGCAGCTGTGGATGGCGCAGGGCAGGCTGAGTAGGAGAGGTGTGGAAACCCTATCGATGGCTTTGAAATTCTGTCCGCACACAAGAAAAAAAAATTATAAATTGTTATAAAAAATTATAAATTTCCAAAGCCCATGCTTTGAATGGGACCTGCTTTCAAGTCACCAGCTAGACACCCACCCTATTTTGCAACCATACTACTGCCCGAGAGCTCCAAACACTCTGGTGCCCATGATGGTGTATGTTAAACCAAAGGTATGATGCAACTCCTTTTATCAAGCAAAGAAAGGCTCTAAAGATGTTGTAATTTTAGATGAAGTTTGCAGGGCAAGAGGTTACATGAGATGCCTTTGAAGACAGCTAACTATTGCCTTGTTTGTCATAAGAAAACAAAAAGAAGGAAAAAAAAAAGAGTTTGGGATCCCATAAAAGAATAGTTTGGGGGCGTCATGATTTTGTGTTGACAATCTTCTGATGCAAAAGCAGAATTTCTAACAAAGAATGAGCATAAAATACCCTTGGGGATTGTAAGTAAATCTCAGTACTTTAAACTGGCCCTGGTACATGGTCTTGCTGCGTTTCACACAAAGCATACATATGCATCCCGCTACCAGCATCCTATCAAACTGAAACGTCTAACACTGTCTAGCCATGCTGTTTCTGCAAAAGAAGCAGGCTTCTGTTTATTTCTCATTTGGGAAAAAACGACATTGATATCGAGCAAGAGATTAGCATGTGTTCCAGGATAGGAAGAATAGCAGTGGTGGAAAATATCCCCTATTCCCAAATGATAGGGATGAGTATATCTAATTAAAAAATAATCTTTTATTGTCTGCCAACTCAATCTAAGTTTCAATATACAAACCAGCAATTACAGGAAGTAGATAATCAGTTATGCATTTAAAAGACTTTCTGCTGAATTATGTGTCCTTTAATTACATGTACATTTTTAAAACAAGAATCGGACTTCTTGGAATTGAAGGAGAAGGAGTAGCCAGACTAGGAATGGATTTACTCTATTCATGGCCAACAGAAACAATTTCAAGTAAAAAAGTTAATCATCCTATTTTAAATCATGCGTCAAAAATACCTCTAAGAACTAACTTTCATTGCCCTAAGACACCTTATGTATTCATGTTATCCTTCCAGTTTTTTAGGCATGAACATCCCTGGAAGTGTTCAAGACGGGGCTTTGAGCAACCTGGTCTAGTGGGAGGTGTCCCTGCCCATGTTCCTTCCAACTCTAACCATTCTATGAATTTTAAGCACCAAAACCAAATACTAACAGATTGTTTCAGTGATTCCTGTGCAGTGATGCGCCTTTTTCAAAGTGCACTGAGGATGCCAGACCTTCAGGTAGTAAAACACAGGGTGAGAATGTCAGGCTTAAAATATCCAAGGATGCAAGCTGACACAGGCATCCCTCTTTCCATAAGCAAGGCTCAGGAGTGAATGTCACTTTGGCAGCCCAGGTTTCTGCCATCATCACCACCCGCAGTTCTCACTAAAGCTCACTCTAGTGTTCATTGCTAGGGACAGTGGACTGTGTGCTCACTCTCAGACACACCAGGCCTCCAGAGTATAAAGGGTTAAGGGGAAAAAAAAGTGATGAGGGGGCTTACAAATTGGACAATTTGCCAAGAACCTGTTGCTATTTCTGTCTTTCAAGATGCACTGCTAAGTATTGCTAGATTCCCCCTCACCTTCTCTGTGCTGTCTGGAGGGGAATTGTGTGATGGAGCAGACAAGCTTGTGGCCCTCTCCTATAAATCACATCCTTTAACAGTGACAGGTGTTGCTACAGCTTCCTCCACACAGATTTTTGCCACAGGCACCAGCTCTTCCTCCATGGCTGGCACTTCATGGCACTGAGTAGCTATAAATCCAGCAGTAATATCTAAACATAAAATTTGGTCTTTTCTTTTTAGAATTCTGAGTGGGTTTATTTTTGTTGCTGTTGGTCTTTTTTTAAGGAAAAATAACCCATACATGTGCAGACAATACTGGAATAATCCCTATGCATGCAGGGGTGGCCCCCTCCAGTCCTAGGTCATGTGGAGTGCCCCTGCTTGCCTTAGCTCATCAGCGTACTCACAAAATGTGTTCCCCTTCTCCAGTGTTCAGCACCGAACACACTTCTACTCTCCAAGACAGGCTGTAAACTGCGGGGAATAGGTCTCCTTCAGTGCCATCATCTGGCAGCATCCTGGGACTAGAAAGACAAAAGGGGTGATGAGGTCTTGGAGGAGGCTCGCTCTGATACAGGATGTGTGGATGTGACACTACCGCATCCGCTGGCGCGGAAGGTGGGGGGCAGAACACAGGCTGCAGGCCAGCAACAGGCTAATGCTGATTTACAGCTCCATGAGGAGGAGAGGAATCCGGCTGTTTCATCTCCAAGCTTTCCACCTTTGAGCAATCACACCAACTCAGATGTGAGTAGATGCCAAAACACTCAAAACCCGTTCTTTCAAATTGCAGGGTAAGGGACTACTAACTTCTAGGGACGTGTCACGCTTGTGAGCAAATTTATGTTCATCCCAGACTGCTGGAGGAAAAAATGTCACCAGCATCCCACTGCAGCTGTGTCTACCCCGCTCAAGTGTGAGATACCAGATTGGCACCAGCCCACTTGTCCTGCCTAATTGGATAAAATTATTGACTTCCTGCAATTTATTGTTTTCTTGGGATTTTGCTTTGCAGAGGGACTTGGAGTTGCCAGATTGTAGCTAGCAGTGCTGCTATGTTTTGGTTCGCCTGAACAGTTGCCAGGTGGCAATGTATTTGTCACTCTTCGTATGGTTTTTTTATGTCAAGGTGCCGAAATTCAAAGGACCTGTCTGCAAAGGGCTCTATTTTCAGCTGTTACTGGTACACCTTATTTACATGGGTTCCTTGTTAAATAGGAAGAAGCATAAGCGTTTGGCCTTTATTTACCGTCCATTAGACATTGTGCATTAAAATGGTCACTCAGATGTATTTTAATATACATAAATCTCATTCTCTGAGGCCAGTATCTATCTTTTGATGGATACTCCTCTTCATAGCATTTCAGAAGATACTGACTATAATACCATTTCCCTTTGAAGTCAGCCTATGTATCACACTTCAAGTATAGCTACAACAGTCATTTTAAGGTGCTAAACGCTACCTTAAACCTTATCTTGTCAGATTTTACTCCTCCAGCTTATAGAATCAGGCATTTTTACCTTCTTTTAGTTTCTTTTCTATAGGAAAGAGTTTCCCAAAAATTGCCAGGACTCTTTAATGAAAATCTGCCAAGCACTCTCCAAGCACCCACTTCCCAAGCACCCTCCTCTTTCTCCAAGGGTTCCCCCATTATCCCCAGTTATTGTGCAATGTCCTAATATATGCAATTAACCAGGCAGATCACAGATGGAAAAAGGACATTCCAGTTTCAAGAGGAATTTTTGGCAACGCAATACACAGCAGTGTGCAAGCAGGCTCCAGCTCTGCTTGGAGCCAAGGGATGCTACATGGACAACATTAGCACATTTGGCCTGTCCTGAAGTATCTTGCCTGTCATTGAAGCTTATTATTTGCAGCTCAGCACCATTTTCACAGAGCTTTGGTGACAAGGAGTGTGGCCAGATCATGCTAATGTCTGCCTGGATGATGTCTTGCAGACACTCTAACAGATCCTCCATTATTCCTCCTTGGATTAGGAACAGGACTCTACATTACCTCTGAAAAATCAAATATTTTTTTTCCTGGACAAGTACCACGCATTTTGTCATCTCCACTAGCAGGAAGAAATCATTTCAAATGAGCAACTTACCCTGTTGTCAGTATTCAATTCAGGAAAGGACATCTAATTCTTGATCATGCAGTTCCTCTGTCCCCCAGCTTCTCACGAGGAGCAGTTGGGTTCACTCCAAACAGATGCCCAAGCACACGCCACCACATCAGCACTGCAGAAGCCAGGTAGATGGATCTGGAGGAAATGCAAAAACTGAAATTGGAAACAAGAAGGGAAAGAAACTAATTTTTCAGCATGCATAAAAGCTATCTAACAAACACAGATTGCCTGAGCAATGACTAGTTAAAATGCAGATTACAAAAAAACTATTTCCTTTAATACCATATAAATAAGTTACTTGGTCATCTTCTGTGACCTCAGCTGTACAGGAGGTCAGGCTAGAGAACGTAACGGTCCCTACTGGCTGTGAAAATCCATGAGTATATGGTCATTTGCAGTTTCACCATGTTCTGAAAAAAAAATATATTCCAACTTCTATTTTACGTCTAGATAATATGACTGATTATAAGTAAAAAGGGCCTTCACTGAACAGAGTAAATCAACAGGGTTGCTGATGCACAGGTGTTTTCTCCGAGTAATAAGATACACCTCTCACAAAGGAAACAACGGCCTGGTCAGCTTTCCCCAGGGTTCCTGGATTAATAAATGCGTTTTCATTACAGTGATGATGATGAAGGTATATGGTAAAGTTGTATAAGAATCAGGACAAACAGTGAGAAATATATTTTATCACACATAAGGATTTGCCTTTTAGGATCAAACATTTGTTTCTGGCCCACACTAGGGATGTGCTATAGCAAGGCACGAACTGCCAGTGTCTCTCTCCTGGAGGAAAGCAAGATCTATAAGTGCCACAGCAGTTTCTCTCCACCCATTCCCACATCCTGACAACCATTCAGGACAATGGCACTGTCACCTTTGGGTGAGCTTCTGCTTGTGCCCAGTCTACATAGTCGCAAAATATTGATGGCAAAGAATATTTCCTCCTCTTTCTATCCCCCATGATGGTCTCAGTCCAATTTGAATCCTCTGTGAAACGACGTAGAATCACCTACAAAAGTCACACTGGTTGCTTATAGCAGCTTTAACTTTCCATTCCACGCTAGGACTCTCATATAACTCATCAGTATGTGCAGAAATTATTGTTGTCCTTTTCCTCCAAACCGTTAATATAGCCCTAGTTGGAATGATATATATTTGCATCACTCACCTGAGCTCCTCAAAATTCAAAAGCTTGCAAGTCTCAATTACAGTTCCCACCTGTTTTAATCATCATTATTGTTCCCCTCAGCCCAATGTGCCCAGGTCCCTATCTCTCATCTTTGGCCAGTACAGAAGTGAGCACAAGTTTGTTAGAACAGGACAGGAATTTTGCCTGTCCAAGGTTATCAATTCACCTTCCTCCCACCCTGCACTAAGCTTTGATCGAGTTTAAACTGCAAAGTCTTTGGGGCAAAAGCCACATGGCCCCATCTGGGAAGGATTTCAGTCCTTCTGTCTGTAGATATTCGCCAAGAAATTCACATGAAATCAAGAGGAAATAATTTATCCCACATACATCTACCCTAAGGCTCTGCCACCACCACCCAAAGTATTGTTTTTAAGAGATAGGCCACTGTCCTAACAGGACTGTGGTGACAAACCAGTCTTGCAATTATGAGGTTTCTTAAAGCACACTCTCCATTTATGGTGGCTGCCAAATCATGAATAATTTACCACCTTATGTCAGAGTGGTCGGATCTGTGCACCATAATTGCAGATGATGTCAGCTCTGGGATTTGTCCTGAGAGGCTAAAAGCCACTGTAGAGCCATTGTCTCTTGTGGCTGTTTTTTCAGCTCCTAAAGCAACAAGTAATATAGGTCTGAAAAAGACAACCTTTAATTAATATCCCATATGGAGTTAAAGTGCTGTTGAGAGGGATGGAGAGCAGCTGATTTACAGCCATTGAAGTCTGATCTCAGCAGCAGTTAAGATCAGCTGTAGAAAGCAAAGGATTTCACTTCTGGTGACAAAGGCACCTGGTTTGAGTGACAAGAAGCACAAGAAGGGCAGTAAGACCAACCACGGTCATGAAGAAAATCTTCACCCAAGCAGCTCCCCTTTCCTGGTCAGGAAATCTCCCTGTGTTGCACAGGCGCAGTGGGGTGCAGGGTCCCATCCAGGGCAAGGGACACAACAGACCCCTGACTCCCTTTTCTGCAAAGGACCTGTCCCTAGAAATGCTGGCAGCCAGGACAGGCATATGATGCTTTGTAATGCACCCAAGGGAAAGAAAGGAAAAGTCACATTTCCTGTATTCCTTTTCCCTTCTCTTTCTGAGTTCCAGTGTCATAGTGTGGTGATAACACCAGAGCTATGGAGTGGCGAGAGGAGGAGGGACTGGAGAGGCAGGAGGAGGACACTCTGGCACAACTGGACTCAGCAAGGGGATACCTATGGGCTCTCTGGTTGATGAAGGCTTATAGCTAGGAAAATGTTGTATCTATCTTATATCTAACTTGCAACTACGTTATTTTGTCATTTCTTTGGTTTAATTCATTCTTTACTCAACTGCTTGACTTTAAGTTGTACCTATACACAGCACAGCAGTTCAGTTAAAGCCTTTTGCCAGAAGAATTACAAGGATGTCGCCACCCTGCAGGTTCTGACATGACAGATCTTCCCCAGAACTGCAACGCAGAACAACAGACTGAGTCATACCTGAGAGGGCTACCCACCGACATTTCCCAGCCGGATGGACTGGCTGGTCTCACCTCCCAAGCCCAACCATGCTGAAGAGCAGCCTGTTGTGTGCTAATTTTTCAAGTACCTCTCACGGGGCCAGGCACAGCCCATGTGTGCCATAAACCACAGTGTTGGTTTAACCCTGTTCAGAACACGAGGCCCAGCCTGCAGCTGGAATTTGTCATTAACCTCGGACTTGTTTGCGATAGGTGAGGCTTTGGCTCACCACAGTTAAGCGTGGATTTGCCTGTTGCCTCGAGCAGCTTTCAGGTGAGTGAGATAAAAAGGGTAACGTTACAGTGGGGAGAAAAGAAAATTTTGGAAGATTCGAATGCCCCACACCAGGTCTCTAGAAGAGAGAGGACTGGGACCTAGATCGCCCCAGGGATTTTATTCCAACGCCACTTGACTTCCCTGTGAAACTACTCTGGTCACAGATAGCTGGCATTCATACAGTTTCACATTTACTAGTAATCAAATCACAGACGCTGCTAATTACCTAACCCCATACAAAGGAAAATGCGGTTTAAAGGTTTCAGTTATGCTCTACCTGCTACGCCAACGTTGCAAGGCTTTATTGCATTGCAAACCCAGGGGCTGGCACTCTGGCCCTGCACATAATTTCTACATGACAGCTGGAAAGGGGTTGAAAATAGCCAAGAGAAATACTAGCATGGGAAAAGGGGGAAGGTATTTCCTGCACAGCTTTGAGCTATTCTATTGCTCACAGACATGGAAGTGAGGGGAAGGGGTGGTCAGGGTGTCCTGTTGTGCGGTTACTCTGGACCACTAGCAGTGCAGGGGAGAAAGCCAGAGTTTCAAAGCACTTCGGAGTCATTTGAACAAGAGGAACAGTGTAGACTGAGCTCTCAGAAGGAGCAATGAGTTGGGGCTAAAGTTAACTGGTGCAAAAGAAATGCAGTGATGAATGAAACTCAAGGAGCAAGCCTCCTTTGGGAACCCTGGCCTTGGGCTCCTGGCAGACCCGGGGGGCTGCAAGAAATAGGGGACAGAATTACCACAGACAGGGCATCCCCCAAAGGAGGGGAGCCCAACTCACCTGACAGAACAATTCAGGAGGACCTTATTATATCCCAACCAAGGGAACTCAGGGGAGACCTCCCTCTCACACATGTTTCCAAGGGAACAGTCATTCAGGGAAGCCCTTCACCCTGACCTCCCTCACAGTGAAGTGGGATCACTAACCAGGGGTTATTCCTGCCACCACTGTCCACTTGCCAGTTTGGAACATGTCTAGGGTGGTCCCATGGATGCTGTTGCAGCTCCAAATTACATCCTAGCACTTCATTCTGGAGCGGGCACCATAAGGAGATTTTCAATTCTAGGAATTCCCCAAGTGCCACTGGAATTAGAGTCAGCAAGGGGGTGCGGAAGGGTTGTCTGTTTCCTTATTTTCACTGAAAGTTTAATTTTCTATGAAACTTTCTCTTTTCATGCACTTTCTAATGTGAAAAAATGCATCTTCTCAATGTAAAACATTGCTTTTTGTCAGAAAAAGATATTTTCCAGAACAATCACCCAGAAGCCAGTAAAGAGAGGCAGGTTTTGACTGAAAAGAGTAACTCTCAAGATATCCTTACATTTCCAAGTGAAATATTTCGTCCTTCAGAAACATGAATAGTCCATCTCAAACCACTGCCATGCCCTGTGGGAACTGTAGTGTGGGCTCCTCAGTCCTGTCTGTCAAACAAGCTGTACTGTGTCCTTCTTGAGGCCTTGCAGCCTCCCAGCCAGGTAATGCAATGAGACACTATGAGAAGACAGAAGAACAGAGATCATGGCATGGTCTGGGAGCTATTCTGACCAGCACCATGATGCGTAACTCCAAATCTACACTGAGCTCCAAAAGACGTATAAGACCAGTAATGCTATTTCCCCAATGTCCAAGTAGGAAAGCATGATAACCTGTGAGAGGAAAACATGATTAGTGGAGAACATACAAAATGGTTTTGAAAGCAACCTCAAGAATCATCCATGTCAATGAAGACACTGATCTCAACTATCTTTAACATATATTGCTTTAGCCTGCTATGGAAAACATTGATGACTCTCCAGAGTTAAGCCAGAAAATCTCATGCAGTCCTTAATTACCTTTACATCAGGAAGATTTTCCTAACACCTTAATGAAATTTCCCTTTGTGAACTTTAAGTCCATTACTCCTTGTTCTGTCTCTGGTGGAGAACAGACTGCCTATTCTGCTCTGCAGCAGCTTGGTACGGATCTGAAGATCACCAAATCACACCCTAGTTTGCTCCTCTCCGGAATCAACAGCCTCAATCAGATCCAAGTTTTCAGTTCTCTGAACCACCTTCCTTCTGTTGACTTACAATTTTCATGGAATGCAGTGTCCAAAAGTGTATGTGATATCCTGGCTGAGGCTTATATAGGGCTACCTAACGCAGAAGGATGCCTTCTCATGTCTCACT